AATCTGCAGCTGTTAATGACTAGTGATTTTTGTTTGCTTTATTTGTGATGTATATATAGAAATGCGTGTGTGTTAGAAATTGCAATGCAAACACTCAATTCAGTGGTATCTCAGCCTACATAAAGACCCTTGGAGTCAAACCATTTGTTATGGGTGTGGGCTTGAAACACCTAAGTTGCTTTGAGGACTTGTAAATGACTTACCCACAGAGAATAACAAAGTCTTTGCTTTTCAAAGACCAGACGGGGTATTACCACTAGATCTCCCCATTTTTTCATTAGCAAGTGAAGCACAGAGGTATTCAAATTCACACTATGGAAATAATTCTCTTCACATCAAAATATGCTGATAATCTACATAGACAAAAAAGGTAACAGCATTATTCAAGAGAGTTATAGCAATTCTGAAAACTGTCATACAACACACCTAATTTTCAGCCCTGTTGTTCAAAAGAGCTAGGATCTTAGAGTTTATTAAAATAAGGCCTGGTTTATGCTCCCTTCCCATCCTATTTTCCTCAATGTCAATTCCTTACAAATGTTTTCTGTCAGCTTTTTTTCTTCATGCCTGTTTTCCACTGTCATCATGCACTTTGTTTTCATCAGCCTGTCTGCCTTCTCTGACTGTGGTAACTAGATTTCTCCAGTTCCAACATTTTATTAACTACGTGTCCAAAATACTTATGATGTTAGTTTGCCTGCACTTCTGAAGCACTGGCAGTGAACTGGTTTGAAGCCTACATCACCTACTGAAGATTTTCCAGGCTCTTTCTCAGCTTCCTAGGTAAAATCTTCAATACCCTGTTTCTGACCATTAAAAGTGGAAGGCAAATCACGTATTTTTTGAAAAGGGTGAGAAGCAATTCCTTAACTGCAGTTACTCAGACTTCAAAGCCTTAAGAGAAATTAGGGCAATGAATTTGTTTCATCTACTTTCAATAAGCTTAGTCCAGGAGCTGCTTGTATATATACACTCAGCACAGCTGCATGGTGGTAATCTGGTTGAAGTGTTAAAAATCTCATGAGCAGTTACAGAAACAGAGCTGGGGGGATTGAAACCTTCCTTTGTGCTCTATCCAAGGTTGTGTCCAGAACCTTACCTGCATGTTGAACCCTTTTCTTTCCCTCCTCACCCCCGCAATGCTGTCAATAGCAGTGAAATATCTTTGCTTTCAGTAAGTTAATTCCAAAAAAAGCACTGATAAAATAGGGTGGTATTACAGAAGTGGAAAAAAACCTCTCAGCTGGACTCCTTACCAGGCCTGAGGAGTATGACAGTAACCTCAAAGCAGAACCAGTTTATATCTGAAAAGTGTCAGACAATTTGTCAATAGGGGAAGAATGGCTAAAGCTGCCTGCAGGCAGAATAATGTAGCTGAGGATCTTTTATTAAAGCTGTGGCCTCTATTCACTTCATTCATTTTATCTACAGCTCAGTCCACAGCTTGCTGTTGGCAGCATGTTGTTGCCTGACATCTATAGTGCACAAATTTTAGCATCAAAGTACCCTGAGAAAAACACTTTTAGGCCAGGTTTCTAAGAAATTGAGATTCGTACAGTAAGACATAAATATATATAGACTTTTCTTTTAATTGCAGCTAAATTGATTGATTGGGTTAATTTAAACCAAAAAATTGCAAACTCTAATATTATTGTAGGCATTAGAGGTTTGTGAAATTCATGGTTAATTATCATTAACAATCACTAATGTCTCCCACTGAGCTCAACTCCCATTAGAAAACAGAAAGACAGAACGAATATGAAACTCCAGCGATGGGGCAGGGGGAGGAACAGAGACAGTCACCCTTTAATGATAGTTTTCACTATATTAAGCGTGAGATAATTCAACCAAGAGACAGGGTTTTTTGAAACCATGCTTAATTCATTTTGCTGCCAACAGAACTCCTGTTGACGTCTTTGTGCTGTGTCACCCAGCACTGAAAAATGCTTCTGTCACACGGAAGGGCACTTTAGCGTATCTCAGGCTTTCTGACAAACATTGTTCTCACAAAACAAATACTTCATCCTTTCTTATGCAGCTCTTTGAAATCAAATTTCAGGGCAAGAATCACTCAAGAGGAAAGAGAAAGTTGAATGCAAGAACTTTGGTGAATGGAAATAGGAAGATAAAAACAAGTTAAGCAAAAAAACGTAGCCAATTGCAATTCAAAATTATTTGCTTTACTTTAGAAAAATTAAATGAGAAGAAAAACAGTTGGTACTCTTTTGAGGCTATAAAAATGAAAGTATAATCAATAAAACCTTCTCTGTTTTACTAAATTAGTTATAAAAGCCTCAATGTTACAATTTCTTGCTGACATATTTTTCTTTCTTGCCTAGTTGTTGGATCTGACCTTATAGTCTAACCAAAAATACATAAAACAAATCATCTTCCAGGAAAGTTCAGAAATTCAGTTGAGTGGAGGGGATTTAATAAATAAAGTAGGATTCTACTTTTGTACAGTTTGCACTTGAAGGTTTTCATGTACTTCAAATTACTTTTTTAGTCCAAAATAGATGTCTGAATTGGTAAACAAAATGTTGTTGCTACCCGATGCATTCCAACACTTATTCAATTATTCAGTAAATATTGCTACAGTTTGGTCAGATTCTAAACTCTTTAAAACTCTTTGTTGTTTCAAAAGGAATTTAAAAGCGAAATAGAAAATATCTTAATGCTATTTTATTTAGGTTAATTCTTGATTGTCCAAAATCATTATCAGTTTGGTGCTCTCTTCAAACCATTTTTTTAACTGACTTTGTCATCAAAGTGTTCCATTTCCAAAACAGGGATTAAATTTGAATCTCTTTAAATTCACCACATAAGTGATTTTAATCCATACTGTAAGTTTTATCCTGAAATCCTATTTCTGTGTATGTCTTGTTTTTCTCATGTTTTTGTGGTTGACTCCTATTTTTCTGACTAGGTGTGAGTCACTTTCATATATACATATTTTTAGTACTTTAGAGTTTATGAAGCATTTGTCTGTGCAGATGTCTGAACATATTGCTGTACAAGTGCAAATATCAATATGGTACAGGATTCTTCAGAATTTTTAAATTAATAGGTTTCTGTTTAGGATATTATGTAACTGATAGAAATTACTTACACTCAGCACTGAAATACAAAAGAAATCTCTGACTATATTATGACTCCAACAGTATATAATTAGTATTACTTACACTGAATAGATCTGTAAATTCATACTGGTTCAGGTAGTAGGATGAAAAGCAATATAAAGAAGGAAGAAAAAGAAGAAAGTTAAGCTATAGCAATGAAGGAAAAATAAAAAAATGGAAAAGGGGACAGAAAATGAAAAAAAACATAGAACATTTCATGTATATGTCTACACAAACATGCAAAAATTTATGCAAAAATTTATTAGCAAATCCCTAAAGCATCTAGCATTTGAAATAAGAACTTAGAAATTCACAAGTTCACTTGAATATATTTTTGTCCAAAAAGTTTGCAATGGGTACATCATAAATTGACCAATTTTGAAACTCTCTTTATACAAACAGAGTCAGTTATAGAAAGGAGACTTTTTTTTTTTTCTGCACAGGGTGCAAGGTGGAAATTTTCCATAAATCAGTCTTGCCAAGGAATAAACAGCAAGTGAATTTATACACTGAAAGCACATAAACCTGCCTATCTAATACAACTACCACTCACCTATTGCATAACTGTTAAGCTTCTGCAGTCTTATGTAATACTTGTCACTGCACCTTTGGGGGTCTCTGGTGGTCATTTGGGGAGGTGGCACCTTTTTCGTTTCAAGCAAAGTTCATCTCAGAATAAGCACAACCCAAAGCTGAGTGCAAAAGAAAATATTATTTTCTTACATCTGCAGCTCAGAGACACATATTCTCAAACAACTGACATGCAGGACATCAAATACAAAATATTTCCATAAGCTTTAATCAACACCTGCTTAACACACCTGATAACCTCTATTTGCATTCAGAAGAGGGGTTAAAGGTAAGAATGACACCATTATCTTTCATCCACAACAGAGATCAAAGGAGGGGACAGAGAATTCTGCCTAAAGACTCAGAGAATTCTGCTTAAAGACATCACATATATACTGAGCTGTAACTGAGTGAGGCTAATGAGAATTAGCCATGGGAAGCTCCACTTTAGTCTTTCACATGTGTGTGCGCCTTCAATTGTTCTTATTTTTACCCAAATATGTGTAATACACACACACACAAAAGAAAATAATTCTGATGTCACTTTAGGAAAAAAATATCCATAAAGGAAGTTTGGATATGGAATTTTCTTTTCCATCATCACTGGCCAATGGAGAACCAGCCTTACTCGCCTAAACTTTCAGATGAATCAATCGTGACTCAATCATATGTCTATGACATTACATTACTGGCAAGTATTTGATAATGGCAAGGTATAATAATGAAAACTCACATCCTTTTTCTTCTTCTGGTATCTGTAAGAGAAAAAATCCCAAATTCTGCGTCAAAACAACACCAAACACAGTCTCAATACATATATTGAATGCACAGGGCTAGAGGATAGAGACTTTCACAAGAAGTAGTCTTGAATTCTAATCTGTACTTGGAGATTTAAACCGATATTTTTCACAATCTAGAGTTTTTTGTTATCCAGGCTTTGACATGTTATGAATAAAAGCAACCTTTCAATTTTTTTCATTCCAAGCTGAGCCTCTGTTCTCTAGACATACAAAGGGCAAAGCAAGCTTGCTTCTAATACACTTTTGATTTCTGATCACGCTGAAGTGCAAAATGTTTTTGCCATTTACTTTAGAGTCAGGAAAGGGGAGGAGGAAAAAATAATCAATAAACCACCCACAAATATCACAAACCACAAGGACTATTTGCCTGAAATAATAGTTCAGTGAGGAGCACTGGATTAGACAGGAAATTGCCTGCTTTACCACTAAGCCAAATAAATTTGTACACATTGCTGTACTGCCTCTTAGCTTCAACAGAAGCAAAGGAAAGAACTTCACCTAACTTTACCTCATGATTTGGGTAGGTCTTCTGCTACAGGATCTCTAGGTTCAAGGCCCTTGAGGTGAAGGACATGTAGAAGGGTGGCCTTTGTTTCTTGAATGCCAGAATCCAGGGTTACTGCATAAAAAGCAACAAGTATTTCCTCCTTGGCTGCATTTTAAAATAATGGCTCCATCTTTGAACTCAGGCAAACAGGTTTCAAAAGGGAAGCTTCCAGAGATACCTGACCTTTTGCAACTACTATTCTCTACGAGATGGTTAAACATGTTCCTCCTCCTGGAGACCCAAAGTAATTTTCCAGCAGTTGTTTTGTTGTTTTGGTGGCAACCTATTTTTGTCATCAGAACACCTCTCTCCGTTACTCCACAATGAATCTATTTCCTTAATTTCAGTTCACAGTCTACCAGGCTATTCAATCTGCTTAATCCTTGCTCAGCTGTAAGAATGATTGCTGTTAAATCTGCAACATTTTCCTTTGCCAAAATGATCAGGGAAGCCCATTAGGTGAATCGGACACACCTCACCTTGGCCAAAAGGCACTATCCATCAGTTTCTAAATTATATTTATTTGATCTGGTTTTCTTTCTTTTGAAGATTTTTCCTTGAACTTCCTCAGTTTTAAGTCAGATTGCTAAACATAGTTGGGTGGATGGCATTTTCGGATTTCTGAAATTAACGGATTATGGATCACAGAATGGGTAGGGCTAGAAGGGACCACAATTGGTCATCTGGTCCAACCTCCCTGCTCAAGCAGGGTCATCCTAGAGCACATGGCACAGGACTGCATCCAAACTGTTCTTGAATATCTCCAGTGAGGGAGATTCTACAATCTCTCTGGAAAATCTCTTTATTTATATATTTTAGTTCTCAAATTATTCCATATACTACTTTCTTCCACATTCTAGAGAGATCTTCAAGTAAGGGAGCCAGATGAACAAAAGAAGTCCAGGGTCTTCTAGGTTTTATGCCCCCAGTCTCATGAACAATCACCTGCCCACCTGCACCTCTGGGCTCAAAATTACCCTCCTTAACTGAATTCTGATTGAAGTAAGGCAATTGACAACACTGAGGTGGTTTGATATGCACATTTGCTCACTTTGGTTAAAAATACAACAGAGGATTTTGTCAGTCATGGCTATTTTAATATACTAATTGCATCAGTAGTCACTCAAGATTAAAAATTTAATAGCTAAAACAATTATTGAAGATAGAGTAACAAAAAAAAAAACCCACAGAATTTGCCAAAGAATAGTTGTCTCTTCTTTCATGCATTTTAATTTGAGGCTTCAGTGCCAGAACATATTAGAAGCACTGAGCCACCTGCTTTATTTTCTCCTTATCATTAGGCTTACTCTGAATAGTCATAGTTCTCAACAGACAGATTAATCCTCACCATGTTATCTTGCATCATTGATCTCTCTCTGAAATAAATGAAAACAGAACATCTAGCACTTCCCAGATTGCGGTATTCTGGCCTGTAAATATAATATTAAACCTAAAGGTAATGCTAGATAATATTTTTTTTGCTTTTAAAAATGAAATTTCTGTGGTTGCTATGGAATAAATCTTGAATAACTTCAAAGTTTCTTTTAAAGAGTAAAACAGCTTTAGTTAAGTCACTTTTGGGATAGAATTTAGCCTCAAATCAAAACTATTAACACTGCAGTGCAGAGATCCAAATAAAAGATTCAATATAAAAATTGACACTATTTATATTTTTTGGTGTCTTGAAAATAGCCCCAAACGGGACTATAATACAATTAGCCACCCAAGAACAAAAAGAATAACTCATAAAGCAACAATACAAAAAGAATCAATGAGAAAGATTTACGCTGTCCTATCTTGAATGAAGCAGTATTACTTGCATATATTTTAAAAAGTAATCAGCAGGCAGTTGTCGGAACAGTTTCTTAATATTCAGTATTTGCAGAGGTAATTCTGCACACCTTTATTCAGCCATCTAAAAAGTTTTGGAAAGTTGAGAACCTGCTGGTCAGCTTGACTAATATCTTTCTTTGCACTGAAAGCTCCAGAAATATCTAATACTGCACTTCATAGGTGTCCCAGTAGCTGAAGGAAACCAGGGTCACAGAAAGTCACATAAGCAGGCTGAGAGATCATTAAATATTACCATAAAAATTGTAAATGTACAGACTTCTATTTCAGAAATAAATTCACATTCTCTGACATGTTGCCGCCTTCCTAAAACCCTAGATAAAGGCCTGTCACACACCCATTGTGTTGGTATTCATGGAGGGAAAAGCTACTTTTTCATGGGAATGGATGTGAGAAGTAATGAATGTATTAAGAACATATTATTACAGCACTTTAGCATTAAAGAGCTTCTATTTTTTTTTTTTTTTTTACAGTGGTTACTAAACTGGAAGCCTAAACCTCCAGCTTGGGCACCTAGCTTGTAAATAAGTGACTTCCAAATGGTATTTAAATATATCCAGTAAGAAATACTGAGGAAAATTGCACACAAATACCTTTAACTTTCTTGGATCATGTATCCTCTATTAACTGCAAAGATATATTGTGTTCCAGGTCTAACATAAATGAAGAAGCCAGAGGAAAACAGAACCTTATGTTTGGGAACTGCAAAGAAATGATTATTTAGTCAGGGGATGCATCCATGCTGACAAATAGGTAGATAGGTCCTGAAATAAGTAGATAATTTCAATGAAGAATAAAATACATAGCCAAAACCAGTGAAAAATGTTCAAGAACACAGTTAATTACCTGTTAACACATTAACCAATTGACATCAGGAAACAGATAAGCAAAACAGCTGATCAACTGAAAAGACAAATCAAAATGTGTTGGCATTTTTTAATGCACGGATTTCTACTCTTCTCTTAAAAAAACACCAAATATGGACTAATTTGAATTTAAGTTTTCAGAACAGAGAAAGTTCCCTTTCTCTGAAAAGAGCATTACCTATATACTAACAAGACTAATAAATGGTCCTCTGCAGCATTAGAGTGAGTCTCCCCTTTGGGAGGGAACAGAATTAGAGAAATATTTAGACAGCACTACCACTGAAACATTTATAATCAAACAACAGTGAAGGTGGACTGGCTACAGCAGGAACAACAATTTGTTTCAGTTGGTGGTATAGAGCCTATTAGAAAATTTGGAAACTGATTTAAGAGATGAAAGCCTTTGGAAGTGCAGTTTTGTAACCACTCTTAAAGAAAAGTGAGCTTTATTGGCAAAAAAGCAAGGCATTTTAAATGAAAAAAGAACCCCACAAAATTTCATCTCCCATGACTAAAGACTAAAAATATAACCCTTGTCTCCTTTCTTGTAAGTAAAAAAACCCATTTATCAGTTATTTCAGCAACTTTAATACATTAAAATTATTCTATTTTGGTTGCAACAGAAACAAAAGGCAAAAAAAGAGAAGGAATTTGTCTGGCTGTACTTTGGTTTGGGCTTGATACATAGATTTCCAGTCAAGTGAAAAAATTTAATTTTTATGATGGATCATTTTTAGTAAGGAGTTACCCTGAGTCTTTGGCAGGTCATGAAACAGTAGAAAAAAAAAATAAAAATCTTAGAGTCTGCTCTCATTTTTATGGGAGCCAAGACTCCCTTACAGCTATATCATAGGAAAACATCCTTGCCATTTTATTCTTTATTGCTTTAGTGTATGAGCCACCATAATTTTTAGATTATAGGGAATTTTAAAGAACACATGACTATGTGCACATATGAATCAATGATGCCTTTGAAGTTTATACTTCACAGGAAGTTGTGTCCTAATATTACACTTAAGATATGTAATGGTATCCATCATTGTTGGCTAAGACAAATATCACAGCAGTCAAAAAGCAGAGTTCTTTCAACAGTCAGTGGAAACTGTTTATCAAATCCTGTATCCCACATGGCCCAAATAATAGGATTCTCCACACTGTATAAGTGGAAATGTTAGTGAATCCAAAGATGAAGCAATAAATGACTACATTTGAGTAGCATTTTTTCCCCAGTAAATACTACTCCTTCTTCACAATAAAAGGATGCCAGTTCTTTTCATTTTTTTTAACAATAGTTACATGACTGATGAAAGAAGACATATTTAGCCTGTGTTATCATTGAAAAAAAATGCCCCAAATATCTTACTTTTTATGTGTTCTTTTTCCTTTTTAAGATCAGAACTTTCTATAATCATGCTGGATAACATCACAAGGGGAATTATTTTTTAATGGTCATTTCCCTCCATCAAAGGATATGGATACAATCAAACCTGAATTAAACAAAAGAACAGACAGCTGAGGAGAGCACGAAGTGTCAGCAGTCTTTCTTTTCATTGGGATTCCATAGCAACTACAGTTAGCTTATACAACAAATGACTGTGAATTTTAAATTTGCATATTTCTATATCAAAGTCCCAAACTTCAGCACACAAGAAGTGAGCAGTGGGTCTATCAGTAGCAACACAATATGAAAAATGGTCATGCTCACAGTGCTGGGAACACATCTCAGATGGCACACAGCCCTGAAATTCAACCATGTTTAGATAAACCAGCCAAGTAAGAGAACCTAGGTAGCTTTGTCATGCCAATTCCATTGTTGGGGTTTTTCTCCCCCCTCAGATTCTGGCATATAAACACTCACTGAAGGCAAGAGCATTTTTCATAAAGGCTTATCCCCGTATTTTGACGTTACAAAGCAGCTGTGATTAGCCATGGCACACACACATGTGGGAAAGTCACAGGCCTTTCTTCTGGTTTGAGCAAAGGCCAAGGTAGCTGCTGCCAGGTACTGCAGTCCAGGTTTCCTCATGCCTTTATTGCCCATTATAAGAAGACATAAAAACGGTAATTTCTCACGTCACAAACAGAATTTTATTCTGGTCTTCTGTGATCCCACAGGGTTTTCAAAGTAACATTAAAGATGACACACCAATTTGTCTGCAAAAAGGTACTTCCAATTAATTCTCCAGGGCCACCATCAAGGAGTGGAGCTCTTTTCTGGTGGGCCTAATGGCAATATTTTGTGAAAATAATCAAGGAAATAATTAGATTAAAACTCATTGGTTATCTTCACATGATACCACAAAGTTTTACAGCGAAGGAAAATTTTATCAATTGTTTATATATTTGTATATACTGAATTTAACCCAGTTACAGTTTGTGTGATTGATTTGAACTCTGCAACAACTGTACAATGAGCTACCTGGAACCTATGAGCTATTGTATTTAAATGAGAATTGAGTGTTTTCAAATGGTGAATCATAATTCTTCCATATCCCCTGTTCTTTCTCGGATGAAGTAGACTGTTTTCAGCATTAATTATTTCAACATTCTGCTTCAGCACAGTACGATATTTTCCCTGCATTATCAATAGCTTATATGAGGATACTGCTTATATAGCAAAACTTTCTAAGTAACTGTCTGTCTGAAGTTATTTGGCATTCAAAAACACCCTGAGGAAAAGATGTTTGTATTTAGCAACATTTGCTTATTAAAAGAATGAAAACAAAACTTCTTTTATGGTTTTTTTTCCCTGTTGTTTTCTAATGTAATTTTATAAAGAATTTCCAGCGTCCATAGTAGTCAAGAGACAAGTATCACGCAGTCCATAGGTGAAGGCATTAACAGAAATTCAGGTTAACTCCTGCTGGTACTTCAGGTAGAGGGAGAAGAAAAATAAAGCATATTTGGATAGCCTCCTCTCCTCTTTTTAAGTAATTTAGTACATATTTAGACATACAGAGTCTCTTTCAAATCTCTGGAATACAAAAGCAATGCCTGCTTCATCTCTTATTAACTTTGATTATTTCCAGTTTAAACTGATCAAGTGGTTACTCTGCTTGCTTACAGTCTATTTTAAGATTCATCTTCATGGACCCCCTGGCACTCAAAGTGCTTTGCATGTTTCACACAGCTTTGAAAACCAAGTATTTAAGTAAACCAAATTTAACATTAGTATTTATTTGTCATTCTTCTTTGCACCAGTAATTTCTGCTAAATAGAACTTTCCCTTCCCACTATGCTTCCTCTCAGAAGAGTCACTGGTGATGTATACTGAAGGATAAAAAATTTTTACTTTTCCTATATTGTGCAATCGGCTGAGTGCACCTGGCAGAAATCAAGCCTCAAGCTAAAGCTGTACTGTTGGACCAGTAAAAACTAAATGTTATCTGAACTGCAGATGCTGGAAAATACCCGTGCTATTTCTTCTGAGAGATTTGTAATCTAATGAATTAAAGTAATTTTATTATTCTGCAGCCACACATGCAATTTATGTGCTGCAGAATGATAGCCTCTAACAACAACCCCAGTAAAGACAAACTAATAAAAAACTCTGCTTTATGCTTTCCAGAAAGCAGACACTACACTGACATCAAAACAGCAAGTTTAAAACTAGAGGGCAAAGGGTTTATTGTGTAATCTTCCATCAAGCTAAACACTGTCTAGGCACACCATATGATTCTTCTTCATCAAGACTGTTGTCATTTTGCTGTGCTTTCCACTACTTTCCTCTTTAGAGTGGTTAATTTCATTACACTCCAGAAGTGAGGGTTAGGGAGTAGGAGTTTGAAGAGGTGGCATGAAGATAATTTTAGAAAACAAACTGAAACTTTTCTAGTGAAAGACTTTGGCAGCAAAAATTAAGAAACCAGATTTGCTTGTGACAAGTTGACCCCATTTCAAACTCAAATATGACTTTACTATCACTTTCATGTTTCTTTAACTATTTCTGCTCCCTGCTAAACTTTATTTATATACTTCCTTTTTTTGCATTTCTCTATCATATATACCCAGAATAAATAACACTTTCTTTTCTGTTATCAGCATTTCTACTGATGAACTTACGAAAATTCAGTGTTTCTAGTATTTGCTGCATAAAAAAACCCCCAAACATCTAATAATTTACAGTCCTTAAACAGGGAAAAATACAGATTGCTTTTCCCTATAGCTCATAATCTCTTTCTTTGTCATCATACTCTGCTTGTTTTCCTTTTAGCCAATTTCCTGGGGTACTTCAGAGAAAAGGAGTTGCAAATAATGGAAAAACAGTCACAAATCCCTATTAAACAAGAGCCCAGCCTGAACCACACTTAAAATTAAGTATTTCTTCAGGCCTTTACAAAGTAAGTGAAGTTTCAGTTAGCAGCAGGTGATCAAGTATCTTGTAAGACAAGGAGTAAAATAGATTATCTTTAATCCACTTTGAGAAATCCCTGCAGAAAACAATGACCTCTGTGTTTAAGATTTTACTTTTAAAGCATTTTATATAATTCCAGTAGAATTTAAATTCACACACTTAGAATTCTAATGTATTATTAAAAGTCTTGGTGACCCCTAACAGAGTCTCAGCTTATAAAATTAACTAACTTCTAGTGTGTTTCAGAAGAATTCATCTAATTTCATTAGTGTTGCATCAAAATCTGCCTTCCACCCTAACAGTCACAACACAGGCTACTAAGCACTACTAAAGACACTTCCTCAGAGGAGGAGACTTTCAGAAAAAAGTCAACAATCAACATTATATATTCCTAGCTACATGTGTACACAACGTTGAAGATCACTGATAGCTTAGGAATATTCTGTAGGTCTCACACTGAGGAACTATCCTTAAATTTCACAAGAAGTATTGCTAAGTTGAAGTTATACAGTTATATAAAGAAGCCACACAATACAAAATATTAGCTGCCCTAACAGTAGTTAATGTTACATTATCTCTGCTGTCTAATATTTTGGAGTGCCAAAGTCTTAAAAATATTTGAAATAAGTTAAATTTAACATCTTCACCCTGCCCAGCAAGCCACTGAATTTTATGAGCGTTTTCAGCATGCATTCTCAGCGTGAAATTCCTTTTAAAAAGCGGGCAGACATATGTACCAATTTAAACTAACAGAAGGATACACTTCCCTGTTTCACAAGAAAGTTCAGCTGCTGGCAAACGAGGTGACAAGGATAAGGTCTTAATTTGAATAAGATAGTGTCTTTCCCTCAGGCTGGAAACCTGTAACAATCAGCAGCACCTTCACAGTAAGTTTGTGTTGAATTCCAATTGCATTCTGCAGTTACAGAAAGAAATATGAGACAGGCTACTAATTTATCTAAAGGAGATAAAGACAAGTCTGAGCCTCAGACAGATAATATTCAGTAATATTCCATCTCTGCTGGACATTGTGTTATTGATTCTTGGGGGCATGAGAATGGTAGTGTCAAGTCAGGAGAAAATTACTAGAATGCTATTTTTGCACTAGAGACTTGTGCCTTTTGACAACCCTAAGTAGTTTAAATAGGCAAAATACCCAGATACAACATTGTTCTGCTTGTGGTAACTATATTTGTGCTACACAAGCTATACTCCTCACACATGCTCTCTGTATGTATATACCTTCATTTTTCATGTTTATCTCATTCTATTGAAGCCATATCTGGAAGTTCCTTCAATCCAAAGCTACATTATATTTTTTCCCTGTTTTTTTTTTTCCCTTTTTTTTTTTTTTTTTCCTGTGCCATCTGGACATCACAGACACCTGGGCTAAAATACTTATTATACCTATTGAGCCAAATGTACATTTGTGTCCTCAGGCTGTTGTAGCTACCTCAGTAAAGACATTGCTTAGCACATGACAGTACATTTTCCCTCTGTAGCCTCTCACCAGTAGAGGAGCTACACTACACACCAAAAATAACATGGAAACTTTGACCAGGGAGTGGCTGTGGAGAGATACTTGCAGCATTTCAGTGTTACTGCGATTGCTATAATAAATATTTATTTGAACCTTTTGCCAAAGCCTTGAGTGCACCAACAAGACTTCAACTGCCCCCATTTCACCTGAGACCTCCACCCACTTGGACTCAGTTCACACCAATTCCCTGACTAGAGAAAACAAAAAAACAACAAAACAAAACCAAACCAACCAACCAAAAAAAGCTAACGAAGAAACCCCAAACCACAGTAGAAAATCATGACAGGTGACTGATCAGTTACACATGCACCATTTACCAGGAGGTACTAGTTAAGAAAAAGAAAAGCAAATTCTTCTATGACAAATGTACTCAAGAATAATTGTATTCAAATCAATATTCCAGAAGGTTGAATTTTAGGAAGACAAGAAAACAACTTTTGACAGCTTTTATCTCAAATGTGTTTGAACTGACCTCTAGAGTATCATTCAAATCATATTAAATTTGCAGCATACAACTATGAAGAGACCAGTCTGTGACACAGCGTTTGCAACCTCAGGAAAAAAGAAATAAACATATTCAATAAAGAAAAGGTATAAGAAAGGTGCCAAAGATAGAAAAAAGGCAGATACAAACAGGGCAATAAGCAATTTTCACAGCCTATGCCTATTTTTCTGCTAGTACATAACTTAATTACTTCAGAAGTACTGTTACAGTGGAAAAGAAAAGCTCCTTTGAAGCTCTCCTCCTAAACCTTCTTTTAGTCCTCCTGTAGCCATCCTCTCTTCAAAGGGGTTTTCCCCAGGGGTTTGCTACACAATGCAAACACTTTGGTGAGTTTATTCTACCTGATGGAGTTTTTACAAAAACCTGCAAATAAGAGTCTAGTAAGATTCTGAAGCACTGCTAAGCCTCTAACTACAACCTCAAGTGTTCAAGTCCTTTAAATTCTGGCCCAGGAACAGAGACCCTTAAACTTGAGCTGGACTAAATTACCTAAAGTGATATTTAGCTTACCAAATGACTAGATGGTCCTTTACCCACAGATTCTACTGTCCTCATTTTCTAACCTCAAAATTTGTCTCAATTTTTCATTACCTCTATGAATTCCAGCTATAAAATGAGAACTAATTTCACCTATAAGAAACCTAACCCAAAAGCAATGTTCTACAGGTTATACTATATATATATATATGTATAAGTCTTTAAACTTCAGCTGTCTTTAAAGACAACTTTGAAACTAACTTAGGACATCAGTAATATATGAGTTAATAAGTGCTCAAGATATACTATATATATTGAAGTATTTATTAAAAATACAACTAGGAATTTAGTTTCAACTATTTTTAGTGCAATATTACTTTAATTATGAATTTAATTAAAAATTATTTTACAGATTTTTATACACTGAAATTTAAGTCAAATGTGTTATACTTTTTTCTTTTTCTCTATGCTTTAGAAGAAGAAAAAAAGACTTAACCTCCCACCCCAAAAAAGTAAAATTTTAAAATTGCCAGTTTAGACACTAATTGTGAGTTGTGAGAAAGCTCTTCAAACTCTGGCATGCAGGCAGAAAAAGAGTCAGTACCCACAACAGTTTTGCACTGCTCAGTTAATGTCAGTGGGTCTTTTTATTTATCATAGTTAAACTACAGCAACAGTACCTGATCTTTGCAAAAGATGCACCACATATCTTCTTGAGATCTGCAGCTGCTGGTCACATCCAAAACCATCAGATAGGTATAAATCCATGACCCCACCAGGAGGAGACTCTGAACCCTGGTTTGAGGAATATCTGGGAATATCACTATCTGAAGGAGACACAGTGGGCCCTAGGTCACCCCTGGCATACTGCTTTGAATAACTCTTCTGTCCCAGTGTCCTGGGGTGAGGCAGGAAGTTACAGATAACTCTTGGTTATACAGAAATCTAGGATACCTTAACTTCTGACTTCCTCGTCACTGCTTGCCTTCAGAAGAAATCTGAATCAGTCCATACACCTCCTCTCTCTAAAAAGACCAAAATCTAAATTAGACATTAGCAACCACTCTTTCCTCTTCCCTGTGACCTTCCTAAGTCAACTGCCACCCCACAAAAACACCTTCCATGATTCCTCCACAAATGCTCCTCAGCTGGTACCAGAAAATCTCCTTTTACAGCAGCTACTTCCTGAACTCATCATCCCAGCAGGAGATCATTAAGCTCTTCATTAATCCTGCTATCCTGTCCTTCTGAAAGAAAGAGTCCATTGGCTTAGGAACACAATATACAGCTTTTTGCAGATCCTGAGGTATAAAACTTAATTTCTCATGGCTTTGTGTGAAAAACACTTTTAAAGTTAATTTAAGCTTTCATCAAGAGTGATTTAATATTTCATCTCATGAATAAACACTTTGTGAGAACACAAAATAATAATTTAAATTGTTGGGGGATTAGACTTTGTTTCCATTTTCTTAGAGGATGTGCAGCCAGATGACCTATGAAATGTAAACCTATGTAAGGTTTTGTGCCCTTAACTTCTGTTAAAAGGATTTACATATTTCTATGTAATTAAAGAAAACATTTATGCAATTGAAAAAATTGTAGAATTTTTCAAAAACACATTTAAAAATCATGAATCAAACTTAATCTCCATATTTACAAGTATATGACATGAAAATGTGTGAATTGTTTAGTATAATTCCAAACAAATAGTATTTCCCTGATATGAATGACACATAGATGTACCTTACATCAATAGTAGTTTGTATCCTAGAAATTCAATTTCACATCCTTGAAACCTTCACTTTTAATTTTACAATTGCTGCCATACATTCAATAAAGTTTTGATGATAGATTATTCAATTAAAATTTGTAAAGGTACAAATACATTAATAATCAGGGCACTGAGGTTTTCTGTGGTTGTGAATTGCTTTACTATGGCCTATTTTTTTTATTTCTTTTCACATAATCACCTCAGAAAAATGAACTGATACACTGCTAACCTTTTGTCACTTCTGAAATAATATTCTGCAAGCAAGCACTAATCTTTGTGATCCATCTTTCTTCAGCATTCCTTTTCACATTTTCATGGTTTTTTTCTTCCTCTGAAATAGTCTAAGCAGACATGAAATCATGAAACATGCAAAGGCAATAGTCACTCATAAACATTAATCAGCTAATTAATTCCAGATAGTTCATGATTATTCATCAACAAATCATGAACTGAAGTGAAATGAACTATTCACAATTAGTTTATGTCTTCAGAATCTTGCATTAATTATCACAGGGTTGATTCCTTTTGAGTCACTCCAGTTAGCCTCCCTCATGATTAACAAGGATAGCATGCAGTTACACAGATCACAGAGTTCCAGAGAGCAAGATAAAGAAAGAATAATTTAAAGTTGCTTATTTTATCCTTAATCACTTCTATACCATTATTTATAAGCAGAAAATTCGCCTGAATGAGAACGGTAGGAAAAAATTCCTATTCTAAAATTAAAGCAAGCAAAAAACTATAAAAGGTAGGAAATTATAGTTTTTAGTTCTGCCTCTCTTTCTTAAAGAAGAATTAAAATGATGTTTGAGGGTTTTCTTTACAAGCATCTAAGTAAAATATACACATGCCTAAATATAGCTGTATTTTTCTTTCTGAAAAGTACAGCTCACCATTTGATATCTTGCATTTACATGGAATATAAAGAAGAAAATGGAATAAAATATAAATGGAATAAAGCATAAATATTTTATAATTATATTAAAACCCAGGTATTCTACTGTTTGGTTTTGGGGATTTGGGTTTATTTTTTTTCATTTGTTTTTGTTCAGTTTTTTTCTCCATCAAATATGTCCATTATAATTTACTTCCTACATATTTATGGAAAAGCAGGTGGATGATACATGGAAATAGAATCCCATATGCATATAAATCCCATATGCACTATAGAGTCCCATATGCACTATAAAGACCCACCTGAAACAGTGTGACCCACTCAAAGAAATATCTCAGGTTATTAGGTCACTTTCTTGTTTTAAATATATAATAAATATCTTTTCTGATCAGAGTTTGGGGATAGTTTGGGGAAATCTATGTATCAAAAATTTTGAATCTATTTCCCCTATTTTATATTACTAAGAAAGTTCTCTTCAATATAATGATCTATTGCTTCCACTCATACAGCAAAAATGTCCCTTTGTTGTATCCCTATTTTCACTTATTTACCATATTCATGTATACCAAACTGGGAATGGATAAAATCCTCTTCTATGACCCTAAATACCCTCAGATTAAAATTTTCTAGAAATAATTGAATTTTTTTTTTTTTTCCTGACTATACCATACATTCATTGCTCCTTGTAATTTTAAAAGATGCTAACAAAATCATTTCTTGTCTCCTTCAGGAGCTACAACTGGTTTTTTTTTCTGGGCACTGCCTGGAAATATTTCATGTTGCATGTTTGAAGTGATGTCTGGCTAGAATCCTTTCTTGGTTAGAGTAGTTTCTAAATTTTATATAACTGAAGGCACTTAAAGGCTTCCAGGACAGAAGTGGGAAAGGCAGAACATCTCACTCCGTACTAAGTGTCAAGGAATCCCTGTGAGTTGAATCCCTGCTGTCTGAATTGTTGCCTTGTACTCACTGCTTATTGAAGCAAAGGTGGGTGTGAAGCACTGCTGAGTGCATGCTGCTTTTCACTGGGAGGAAAACCAGAGTGGAGAGGAAAATACAAGAGGGTGTGTTCTACATTGTAATACCAGGGGATCAGGGCTTTAATGTACCTCATGGAAGGCATCACTCCACTTGAGGAAGCAGTTGAGAGAAACCTCTCCTGTGCTTCTTATAGAAACAACTCATACATTGAAGATTAGAAATATATGTTGGATCTTTCCAGAGATTCAACAAAGCACATTTTGACATGGAGTTTTCAAGGAATTGCTATGTAATAAAGAAATTATAGATATGTTGTTCTCAGATAAACGACAAAGTTATAAAAATACTTCCAATTGCTACAACCAGAGAATTACCATTAGTAGTCACTAAATGCCAATAGCATTAGAGAGCAGGGGCATGGGCATGAAATATATTTTGATTATTGAAGAAAAGATGAAAAGAGTTCTTATGGACATGCCCAACTTAAAGCAAAAAGTGAGGTAATTTGGCTTGTTATAAATACCTTGCACCAAAGAGTAAACTAAGCAAAATTACTTTGCTGTGGACTAAGGTTTCTTGTTTACTGTTCCACAATCTGGTTTTCTATTAGTCAGGCTTTAAAGTTATCTACAAGTTTGCCTCTGTTATAAATTCACAACTCCAATTGTTCTTGCTTCTGTTATGAACCCCTAAATTTTTCCTCTGGCATCTTTTATATTACTGAAATTTTAAAGAAAATGTGTGTGAAACTCATGTAAGGGGAAATGTGAGTTTCTAACCAGACAAGTGAGGAGTGTTGCTATAGTACTTACAAATAAGCATACATACAGAGGCAGGTGGCACAGACGATGCAAATCCTAAAATCAAAAATTCTATGTGTCACCTAGGTTTTTTAACTTTATGAAATCACATGCACACAAAAAAATCAACAAAGGATGAGCTAGAAGAGAGCATAGTTTAATCCTAAATACCCAGTTTACATTTATTACAGAAATAATTTAATTATGAAAAATAGATATATGTGTAAAACATAGCCTTGCATGCTGTTGTCTCCATCAACACAGTTGCAACTTGGTATTTCTACCATTTTTAAAAGTTCTATTCCACAGGTATTTTGTTTATAATATCTGTGCTGCTCTAAGAATTCCACATCACTATTTCTTTAAATAAGAGTATTCTAGGGGAAAATAGACTGTTGCTTGGACTGATCTAACACCTTTGTGTCACAGTGAAACCAAAATAATCCCAAATTAGGAGAGAGAAACTCTTCTAGACTTAAAGCAGAATCCTGATCTGCTGAGACAAGGAGTAGAAATTACATCTCTTGATGAAAAAAAACAAACTAAAGAGGGCTGCATGTCCTTGGAAATATACCAGACCAAGAATGCTGCAAACAGACAAAGCCAGGAGACTCGGTAGAAATCCCAAAGAGGCATTCCATGCTTTCTGTGCACTCCTTGTGTCCTGAAGCAATGCTTGATGACAATAATACTACACTTCTGTAACAATCCTGACTCTGATAGGCTTACAGATAGAAAAATTATGCGCTGAATTGTACATTTCTGACAGAAGAAAAAATACATAGGTGATTAAGACAGGTTAAACAGAATCAGAAGTTTTCTATATGCTAAAGAGGATCCCTTCATTTGCTTGAAATCTGACATTTTCAGGTCTTCAAACGTTTACAGTTTACTAATAGCTCAGCTTCTTACATATGCAAGTTTGGTTATGAAATATTTATTGTATCACTTTGGTTATAATTCCTTTTTGTAAAGCAGGGTCCCCTTAGATATTTTACATGGATATAAAAAACAACCCCAGTCTCAAAGACCTTACAGGCCAACCATAAGAGAAAACAGATGGGCAGAGACAGATGGGGGAAGAGATGGAAATAATGAGACTTCTATGATGGATACAAGAAATGTAATTAGGTTGATCATTTACCCATGCATTGTAAAGTTTGCCATGAATATGATACCACAGAAAGATTTTCAGAGAAGTTCTGCATTACAGACCTTTTCTGTCTCCTGCTGAAACAAGGGCACTTCTGCCACTCAAAGCAGCACAGTACAGAAGTTACTTGCTCAGTAATTGCTTACTCATGTACACTTTGCTTAAGTGTCTCTTGGAAATTAGCCAGCATCTGAGTCCTTTCACAGTGGGAAGATAAGGCAGAGACAGAGTTTAAAGATTTTCTTAAAATTCCATTTTGTTAATGAAGCATCATCAGTTTGATAACATTCTGACGACTGTGATTCCTAACAGGGGAATGAGAGACAATAAAAACATATTATTTATATAAATATATTATTATTATTATTACATAAGTACTTTTCTCCTCCCCACATTGTTACTTTGGTAGCAGAAGGCTGAAATTAGCTCCTGACTGAAACAAATTTACAGGTCTTCAGTTGTTCACTTACATCCAGTTATGTTTGGACAATTTTGCTTTACTAGAAACTGAAGATTTAATGATTTT